CCTTAGCCGGTTGAGCTATAGGCGCTGAGCCTGTCTTTGTGCTTTTCTTATTCATAATTTCTAGAAGCATGTGAGTTGCAATGCAAAAAGGATTATAGTTAAGTGTGTTTTAGGTAACAATAAACATGCAAAAGGGCACCAAGATTTCTTGGCTGTCAGTGATGTCAGAGAACTTTGAGTCAGGACATCTGTCCACCCCAGGGGCAGGCAGAATCTCACAACTGAATCTTTCATCCACCTTCGAGACCCAGGAGCACCTAAAAGCCACCGATACCAGATGCAACTGCACTTCCTGGGAGGGCACCCAGGCCACATCAGCCACCTGTCACAACCCCACAAGACCCAGATGAGGTATGCATGCCAGGATCTGGGTGTGCTGCAGGCCAGCCTAGGGGTACGCACCTGTGTGGGTGAGCTTCACGTGGCGCTGCAGGTATCGGTCGATCATGAACACCTTGTTGCAGCCAGGGTGGGGACAGGGCCTCTCTCGAACCTCCTCGTGGTGTTCCTTGATGTGCTTCTGCAGGAGGGACCCAAGGAGACCCTCAGTGCCTCACCTGGACAGAGTCCCACCTCCTAGGGACCCTGGGTGGCTGGTAGCTGACGCCACTTGCTCCCTCACAGCCTCATGCTACGACGCATCTAGACCTACGAAGCTGCATCTCTAGGGAGATGCTGGCTCCAAAGCCCCCAACCCCTGGGACAGTGCTGCTGCTGCTTTGAGCCTGTTATCCTGGGCTTACAAGAGGCTGTGGGCACAGTGCCCAGCTCTAGAGAAACAGGATCACACTAACAACTGCTGAGCCCAGGCACACCCATCCTCACCTTCATGCCATCAGCTCCTCGGTACACGGCCGTGCAACCCTGGTAAGGACACTTGTAGATGGGGGGCAGCTCCTCCCTGTGAGGCACAGCACACATGGAGACAAGGCCCAACACACAGGGTAACACCCATGCTCCAGCCCCCTCACCTCTCACAGCGGAGCTTTTTCTTCCAGCCAGGCTTGGGCCCAGGTTTCTTGCGGACTTTGGGCTCTCCAGACTTCTTGGATTCTTTGCTTTCACTCTTCTTATTGGAGACCCTATAAAAGAAAAAAAAGATGTACCCAAATTCAGTGATGTTCCTGGTCTCTCTTCAAGAGGTCTTTTCTCAAACTTCTAGGACTAAACTGCTTCCATGCTAACTGACTGGCCCTCAACTCTGCCAGTAGCCACCAAAGCAGAATAGTTCAGCCTGAGGCCCTGGACCGGCCACCCGAGTGCATGCGGCCAGAGGCCAAGAGAGCAGCAACACGTGCTATGACTGCTACCTGGCAGGTCTTCCAAGCTGAAGCTTTGCCTTCTATCCTAGCACCAAAACCCAAAACTGGAGACATCTTGGGAAATGGAGTAGGGAAGCTTTAAGGGCCTGTCCCTTCACTGAAACAAACACCCTAGAAAAAAGCTCACCGTTAACTATCTTGCTTATCTCCCAGCATCCAGGAAGAGCTTGAGAGCAGAGAAGTGCTCTTCCCTGGTGCCTCCCCAGCTGCTACCCCCATTCCTCAGCCACAGGAAAACCAACCTGCATTCCTGGAATAGCTGGCTGGGGCCAGGATGGTCAGTGGGGATCATGCCCACCAAAAATGTGGGGCTGTAAGTTTTAGTTGGTCTGGCAGGTCCCTGAGGGACAAGTGGAGACAGTAGCATCACTGTGTCTATCAGAGGACTTACGGAGATACATACATTTGCTTTTCCTTTTTGGATCCAGACATTTAAAGAACTCTGCTAGGAATAGAAGGGAACTTCCTTGCCAAGACAAAGGGCACATATAAAAAACCTATAGCAAACTCATACTCAACAATGGTAGACCAAGAGACCAGAAACAAGACAAGGGTGCCTGTTTTTGCCACTGTTATTCAACATAGTACTGGAGGTTCTAGGCAGACTAGTTGGACAAGAAAATAAAAAATTAGGAAGAAAAATCTCTGTTCACAGATGACAGGATCTTAAATACAGAAAACATTGAAGAATCCATGCACAAGCTAATAAATTTAGACCCCACAGTGCTGAGGGAGAAAAAAAGAAGAAAAAAAGCTAATGATTTTGGCAAAGCTGCAGGTCCTTAAACCCACACACAAAACCCAGTTATAGGGCAGCACCTGTGGCTCAGTGGGTGGGGCGCCAGCCCCATATGCCAAGGATGTCGGGTTTAAACCCAGTACGGGCCAAACTGCAACAATAAAACAGACAGGTGTTGTGGGAGGCGCCTGTAGTCCCAGCAACTCAGGAGGCTGAGGCAAGACAATTGCCTAAGCCCAGAAGTTGCTGTGAGCTGTGATGCCACAGCACTCTACCAAGGGTGATAAAGTGAGACTATTTCTAAAATAGAAATAGTCTAATGCAATGGCATCAAAAAGAAAAAAATACTTAATAATAAACTTAACCAAGGAGGAAGAATAAACTTAAGGAGGGGAAAGACTTATACAATGAAAGCTATAAGGAACTACTGAAAAAAAACCTGATGGCAGGGTGAGGAGGCTCACACCTGTAATCCCAGGACTCTGGGAGGCCAAGGGTGGCAGATCAGCTGATCTGAGGAGTTTGACACCAGCCTGAGCAAAAGCGAGAACCTGTCTCTATTAAAAATAGAAAAAACAGGGTGGTGCCTGTGGCTCAATGAGTAAGGTGCAGGCCCCATATACTGAAGGTGGTGGGTTCAAACCTGACCCTGGCCAAACTGCAAGAAAAAAATAGCCAGGTGTTGTGGTGCGTGCCTGTAGTCCCAGCTACTCGGGAGGCTGAGGCAAGAGAATCACCTAAGCCCAAGAGCTGGAGGTTGCTGTGAGCTGTGACACCACAGCACTCTACCAAGGGTGACAAAGTGAGACTCTGTCCCTAAAAAAAATAGAAAACCAGCCAGGTGTTGTGGTGGGTGCCTGTAGTCCCAGCTATTCGGGAGGCTGAGACAAAAGGATCACTTGAACCCAAGAGTTTAAGGTTGCTATGAATTAGGATGATGCCACAGAACTCTAGGGCAACAGAGTGAGACTCTGTCTCAAAAAAGAAAAAGTTAACATGGCATAATAAATGACAATAATCCCATGTTTATGGGTGAAAATATTCAGTTGAATATGTGAGCATACTACAGATTCATTGCAGTCCTTATCAAAATCCCAGCAGCATTTTTTTTTTGTAGAAATAGAAAAATCTATATTTAATGTGGAATTTCAAAGGACACAACAGCCAAGACAAATTTGAAAAGCAAATTTGAGGGCTGAAAACTTTGTTTCCCAAACATACTACAAAGGCACACTAATCAAAACAATGTAATTGGCACACTTATAGACATGCTGATTAATCAAAAAGAATTGAGACCAGGCTTGCCGCCCGTAGCTCAACAGTTAGGGCGCTAGCCACATCCACCAAACAGGTTCAAACCCAGCCTAGGCCTGCTAAACAACAATGACAACTGGCTCTGCACCTGTGGCTCAAGTGGCTAAGGCACCAGCCACGTACACCCAATGTGGCAGGTTCGAATCCAGCCCGGGTCTGCCAAACAACAATGACAGCTGCAACCAAAAAAAAAAAAAATAGTTGGGCTGGGCATTGTGGCAGGCGCCTGTGGTCCCAGCTACCTGGGAGGCTGAGACAGGAGACTCACTTGAGCCCAGGAGTTGGAGGTTGCTGTGAGCTGTGATGCTACAGCATTCTACCCAGGGGAGCAGCTTGAGGCTCCTGTCTCTGAAAAAAAAACCAACAACGACAACTACAACAAAAAAATACCTGGGCATCATGGCGGGAGCCTGTAGTCCCAGCTACTCAGGGGGCTGGGACAAGAGAATTGCTTAAGCCCAGGAGTTTTAAGTTGCTGTGAGCTGTGATGCCACAGCACTCTACCGAGAGTGACATAATGAAACTGTCTCAAAACAAAAAAAAAGATTTGAGACCAAAACCCCTCACATATGTGATCTACTGATTTTCTTTTCTTTTCTTTTTTTTTTTGAGACAGAGTCTTAAGCTGTCACCCTGGGTAGAGTGCCATGGTGTCACTGCTCACAGCAACCCCAAACTCTTGGGCTTAAGCAATCCTCTTGCCTCAGCCTCCCAAGTAGCTGGGACTACAGGTGCCCACCACAACGCCTGGCTATTTTTTTGGTTATAGTTGTCGTTGTTTAGAGGGCCTGGGCTGGATTCAAACCCGCCAGCTTCGGTGTTTGGGGTTGGCGCTTTAGCGGCTTAAGCTCTAAGCCCCAAACCACGATCTACTGATTTTCAACAATGGTACCAAGACCATTCACTAGGAAAGAAAAGCCTCTTCAACCAGTGTGGGGTAAGTGGATGTCCACATGAGAGAACGGAGCTGGACCCCCTCCCTCAAGCTACACAGAGACAGACTCAGATGGATTATGACCTGAATGTAAAAAGTAAAACTATAAAGCTCTGTGAAGAACGCAGGGGCAAATCTTCATGACCATGGATCTAGCAACAATTCTGTAAATATGACACCAAAAGCATAAGCAAAAAAAAGAGAAATTGGTAAACTAGACTTTAACAAAATTTAAAACTTTGTATAGCCAGGAGGATCGTTTAAGCCTGAGTTTAAAGATTTTGTGTGCAATGATTGCACCTGTGAACAGCCATGGCATTCTATCCTGGGCAACATAGTGAGACCCCCATCTCTTAAAAAATAAGAAACTTGGCTCGGCGCCTGTGGCTCAACCGGCTAAGGCGCCAGCCACGTACACCTAAGGTGGCGGGTTCGAATCCCCAGCCCGGACCCGCCAAACAACAATGATGGCTGCAACCAAAAAACAGCCGGGCGTTGTGGCGGGCGCCTGTGGTCCCAGCTACTTGGGAGGCGGAGGCAGGAGACTCGCTTGAGCCCAGGAGTTGGAGGTTGCTGTGAGCTGTAGTGCCACGGCACTCTACCCAGGGGGACAGCTTGAGGCTCTGTCTCAAAGAAAAAAAAAAAAAATAAGAAACTTTGTGCTCAAAAATACGCTATTAGGCATGCAAACATAACCCGCAGAAAGAAATACTTATAAATTGGAAGAAAATACTTGTAAATCATAGCTGATGAGGGTCTAACATGCAGAATATATAAAGAACTGCTACAATTCAACAGCAAAAAGAAAACTAAAAAATGGACAAAGGAGTTGACTGTATCATTTCTCCCAAGAAGATATACAAATGGCTAATAAGTATGCGAAAAGATGCTAAGCATAATGAGCCATCAGAGTAATGCAAACCACAATGACAAGATGCTACCTTACATCCACAGGGTAATTCCTAATAGAAAAAAACAGGAAGTAACAATGTTGTCAAGGATGATGTGGAGAAATCAGAACCCTTGTGTATAACAGAAAGTGGCACAGGCTCTGTGGAAACCAGCAGGTCCTCATAAGTTAATGTGGAATGACATAAGATACCAGCAGTTCCACTCCTAGGTATAAACCCAAAGAATCACAGCAGTGACTCAAATATGTGTACCAGTCTCCACAGCATTATTCATAATAGCCAAAAGGTAGGCTGGTCATGGTGGCTCATGCCTATAATCCCAGAATTCTGGGAGGTGAAGGATGGAGAATCTCTCGAGCTCATGAGTTTGAAACTAGCCTGAGCAACAGTAAGACCTTGTCTCTACTAAAAATAGAAAAATTAGCCGGGTGTTGTGATGGAGACCTGTAGTCCCAGCTACTCAGTAGCCTAAGGCAGGAGGATCTCTTAAGCCCAGCTGTTTGAGGTTGCTGTGAGCAATGATGATGCCATGGCACTATAGCCTGGGGGACAGAGTGAGCCCATGTCTCAAAAATAAAGCCACAGAAGCGATTCAACAAGGAAATGGATGACACCTGTGTGGCTCTAGAAGTCAGTGCCAGAGTTGGAGCTAGAGTGATGCCAGGGTGGGGCCCCTGGACCTCCTAGGATCCAGAGCCTGAAAGCTGGAGCAACAGGTGTGCTGGTGGCTCCAGAGAGGACACTGCAGTGTCAGTTCCAGCAAGGAGCTCTCTGGAATGAAGTTGGGTCTTGTCCACAGGGCTCCATGCCACCCATGACACCTACCACTGCTGGGACATAAGAGGCACACTCACCCAACCTGCTGGCCACCAGGGCGTATAGAAATCAGGTCCCAACTTAGAATAAACAAGAGGTATATGGGAAGCCCCAAGGACCTACCTTCCTGTCTGCCCACCCAGCCCTTCAAACTGGCCTCTCAACTCACTCATGGACCTTTGGGGACTGGGCCCAAGAGAAGTAAAGTGTGAGTGAAAAAGAGAATAGGAAATGTGAACCTCCTCCTCCCATGCAAGACTCCAGACACCTGCAACTTGGCAGTCCACTTACTTCTTTTCTGGGTAAGGTTCAAAGGACTCATCCGAAGATGGAGTATTTTGCTTCTTGTCATTTTCATCTTCACTCAGGAAGTCTCTAGGAAAGGAGAGAACCTTTAAGCAAAGCCCTTGGCTAGGTAGATGACAGATCAAATAAGACCTCCTGTCTAGAGATACCACATAGGTTCCCACATTTTAGTTCTCCTGGAAATGTCTTTAAAAACCCAAAATCCTATGACTGGTCGCAGTAGCTAACACCTGTAATCCTAGCACTCTGGGAGGCCAAGGTAGGTGTTGCTTGAGCTCAGGATTTCAAGACCAGCCTTAGCAAGAGTGAGACCCTGTCTACTAAAAATAGAAAAACTAGCCGGGTATTGTGGTGGGCACCTGTAGTCCCAGCTACTCAGGAGGCTGAGGCAAGAGGATCATTTGAGCCCAGGAATTTGAGATTGCTGTGAGGAACAATGATGCCACGGCAATCTACAAAGGACAATAGAGTAAGACTCTCAAAAAAAAAAAAAAAAAAAGAAAAAGAAAGAAAGAAATCCAAAATTCTCAAATCTTACTTCCTAACAAAAAGGGCAAGCCAGGGTCACAGCAGGCACCCTGCCAACCATGCTGTCCTTGCACCAGGACAGGAAGAGCCATTCCTCCCAGTTGGTGGGCTTCTTGGGAGGTAGTCTAGGAGAAAAGAAGTAGCTCACCCCAGACCTGGGAGCTCCTGTGCAGCTAGCGGGTTCACTGTCAGTGATTTCAAAGATCACAAAGGGGACAGAAATCTGTTACTTTTACCCTAAACATGACTCACTAATCTCCTGGCATCTGTGGGATAGCCTAGCACCCTGTTTCACCACTGGTACCTGCTGATCGGCACCAAGCACTGGGCTTTATTCCCTGTTTGGATGAGAGTGTGCCTACAGTGCAGCCAGGCTCACAGTATAGAGTGCAGAGGGTATGAGCACCAGCCAGCATGCAGTTGCCCCACATGGTTCTCAGCCTCAGGAGCTCCCAGGTTATGCTGGTTCCCTTCCAAGACAGGTGTGTCCCAAGTCATAACCACGTCACAATAAAGGGCTAGAATCTGGGCTCTGTTCTAGTAACATCTGGGTTCAGTATAAAACTAAGGCCTTTAAAGAAGGAAACAGTAGCAGCAACGAAGGGCCCACCATAGGCAGTCTGAACAGAGTCACCACTCTGGGTCAGACACCACATTGTGCTCCGTTTTGTAGCCGCATCAGCCCTGGGGGCACCTCTGGTCCCCAGGATGCCCAATCAGGAAGGAATTAGATGCCTTGGAGGCTTCCCTGGCCAAGCAGAGAAGAACATCTGGACCAGGCACAGTAGCCTCTAAGGTAGCTGAGTTTGATTTTCAAGGGACAAATTTTAGGCTATTTAAACCCACTCTTCTCTCACCCCTCAGAAAGGTCACTGAACTCGTCTTTTACCCGATCATCCGAGGTTGAAGGCGGAACCTGCTTCTCACTCAACTGCCCTGAGAAACAAAGAATAAGACCCTTGTCACCAACACAGCCTGGAAAGTGCCTCACCTGTGAGAAGGCACTACCTTCATCTGACAGCCTGGCTTCCTTCAGGAGAGAACCCAGGGTCCCTTCGCCTCCAATGCCCCCACCTCCTGGCCCATCCCCTTGCCAAGTGTCCTGTACAGCCTCTGGCCCTGCTACCACCCCCATGTCCAGCAAAGGCACAGGCAGCACCAAGCATCAGAAATTCCAGGAACAGTCAACGCCAACAGGCCCAACACCTCCTGCAGATCAGACCCAGTCATCCTAGGGTGACCTGTACTTTGTGGATGCTTTGAGACATTTAAAAAATTATTGTTATCCAAGTATCACACACACATGATTTTAAAAGCCAACCAGTTCTAAGCTGCCTGTGGCCCCTGGAGGTGCATCTGGGCAGCTGTGTTTTTAGAGTTGCATGGAGGACTCACAGGTAGGAGCCAAGTACCCACATGGGGACAGATGCACGTGCCCAGAAAGGATGAAACAGGTGGGAAGAAGTCCAGGCCTTCTCCATGCCCAGGAGCAGCTGCACCCAACCACAGCACTATGGGGTTGAGGCCATAAACAAGGGACCTGTGAGACTCCCCTACCTATAAGCAGAGGGGACCACTGTGCACTGGCCCTGCTAGGCTATCACCAGGCAACTGGCTAGGACCCAGAGAATGACTTGCAGCTGGCCCAGAGCAGCAGCCACAGAGGCAGTGGCCATCCTTTTCTACCACATCCCACAGACAAGGGCCCCATTCTTCTTTCTTCTTTGGTCCCTTGGGCCCACAAGAATGGGAGCAACAGGCTGAGAAGGCTGGACACCCAGCAAGTACATCTGTGCAAATGCTGCTGAGACAGGGTCCTGCTATGAAGGAATAAGGCCAAGACAGGCTGGCAGTCCCTTCTCACTCTCCGCTATGGGGAGCAGCCACAAGTTCCTGGGGTACACCTAAGACTGGCTCCCAGTCACTTCCATCAGGTCCCTTTGCACTGTGCCATGGCCACCACCCAGAGGTGGTGGAAACGTTCACTTTCTGCTAAAACCCTATCCCACTCAGGAGTACAGAATCCTGGCCTAGCACAAGCCAGAGATGCCTCCTACCTGGGGCCCCACTGAGAGGTGGGCTTGGCTGTGGTGCAGAGCCTGACCCAGGCTGCGCAGGACTGCCATCTGAAGGAGGTTGGGCCACATCTGTGCCAGGCAGGGTCTTGGTCTCAGGCCCAACTGTGGTCCCTGTCCCTCTGCTCTGGGAGATCTGAGGGGCAGCCCCAGTGGGGTCAGACCCCCGGTTCTCGGTGAACCATGGTGCCGTCTCCTTGTCCCATGCCCACTTGACTGCCAATGCGCTGTCCAGCAAGGCCCTGCAGCTGGAGTCGATGTCCATAGCATAGTTGTGGCCCTGGTCGCAGCCCCACACAGCCTGGATGACGCCACAGTACTCAGAGGACAGTGCCCTCTGAAGGCTAGGCAGGGCCCTGCAGCTGGCCGCATGTCCGTGCACCCACCCCACCAAGCCGTGCAGACACTGAGGGCTCGAAGTGATCAGATCCACTGAGAAGAGTCAACAGAGACGTCAGGGCCAACGATGGTCAGTACCCAGCCCAATATCCAGAGCCCACCCTCACTTGGGGCATACTCACCTAAACAGGCTCCTTCCTCCACCCCTGCTGGGGGCTGGGCACTGACCCTGCAAACGATCAGTGTGGCCTTGAGCAGGATGTGCAGCCTGGGGCTCCTTATATAAAAGCCCCTCAAAATCTCAACCCTTCTACCTGCCTCCAGCCAGATCTCTCCTGGGAGCTCTCCCCTCTTCCTGTCGGGGGTACTAACCTCAGCCATAGAGGTCTACGCACATCTTGCCCACCCCAGACCTCCCTTACACTAGTCCTGAAGGTGCCTACATGGGCTTCTGCTCAGCCAGTCATGGCCTATGCCCCCACCACAGAAGCTCCTATTGCCTCTCAAACAGCACCCAGCACATACGGGGTTGAACCCCTGGCATGCCCTGAACAAACAACAGAGAGCCTACTTTGCACATGGCTTCCAATGGCCTGTTGGGGAGATGTTCACCCTCTGCAGGAAGGACTTGAGGAGGCTGTGGCACTGGTAGAACTGGGCGTGGCAGCTCTTGCAGACAAACTGAGGCAAAGCCGGGTCCTGGTGGACAGTCACCCCTAGGAGGCACTGGAAGTCTCTGATGAAGACACGCTCCCCTGGGGACAGTCTCTCTGAGCTTTCCCCAGGTGCCCTGTCACAGATGCTTCGCAGGCTCCTTGAGGAGAACTTCCCATGGCAGAGGCGACAGTGCCCCATGCCAAGAGGCCGGCCTATCCCTGGGCAAAGCAACAGGGGACATCAGCAGTCAGCCTGGGAGGCCAGCTTCAGGCACACAGTTCTTTTTTTTTTTTTTTTTTTTTGAGACAAAGCCTCAAGCTGTCACCCTGGGTATAGTGCCGTGGCATCACAGATCACAGCAACCTCCAACTCCTGGGCTCAAGCGATTCTCCTGCCTCTGCCTCCCAAGTAGCTGGGACTACAGGCACCCACCACAATGCCTGGCTTTTTTATTTTTGGTTGCAGCTGTCATTGTTGTTTGGCGGGCCTGGGTTGGATTCAAACCCGCCACCTCAGGTGTATGTGGCTGGCGCCTTAGCCACTTGAGCCACAGGCCCTGAGCCAGGCACACAGTTCTGTACGGTGACACCACCAGCTAGCCTCCCAGGGCCTGAGGTGGAGAACCAGCCCTCACCCTAAGGGCCTCCCCACTCCCTACAAAGGCAGAGACAAGAGCTGGGCTTCCAGTGGAATCGTCAGCCTTTGGAGAACATGGGTAATGGAGGCCACTGGTCCATGAAACCTCTCATGGGACTCTAAGTGCTCCACAGCTGTGGACCTTCACAGGTGAAGCTGGCAACTGCACCATCCTCACTGCGCCCTGATGAGACCAGAGTGAAGGAGCTGTGTGTCTCCCCTGCAACCCTGCCTTCAAGGAAACCATCTGGCTTTCCCGTCTGCTGAGCCTAGAAGAGGCCTTTCCTGCCCCAAGGCGAGTAACCGGGAAGCAAGAAAAAGGCACTCAGGTGAGCAACAAGCCTTATGAAAATGCAAAGTGCACTACTGTCACTGTCCTTCACCAGCTGCCAGGCAGGAGGCCAAGCAGTTCTCAGGACACCCTTGGGGTATGTTTTAATCAAAATAAAACTGAGGTTCACCGAAGTTAGGCAATTATCTCAATGTCACTGCATTTGAGACAAGCCCAGTCTGAAGCCCAGCCCAACTCTAAACCCTGAGCAGTAAGTCCCTAACCAGCTTAGAGAACTGGACACAAAAGGGCTGGCTGTCTTGCCAAAGGTCATCTCACAGCTGCCACGAAAGCCATAGGGCAGAAGGCGAGCAAAGCTCTCTTGGCCTCTTGGTCCCACTGGCCAGAAAAGGCCTCCTTCCTGCTGGGAGGCCTGATAGGGTTAGGGAAGAGGAGACCCTGGGGATGCGGTCACCTGGAGTGGGAAGACGTGGTCCCCTTCGTTCACCCAAACCCTCGGCCGGGACCCTCGCGCCACGCCCGCCACGACGGGCCCCCCAGACCGGCACGACCCACCTGCCTCGTCGGCGCCGACGTCGCCCGCATCCCCGCAGGCCCGCGAGGGGCCCCAGTCGAGCCGCGCCGCCGCCACCAAGGCCTCCGCCCTGTCCACGCTCGGCCCGCCGCTGCGGGAGGGGCGGCCTCGAGCCCGGCCGCCGCCGCAGCCACCGCCGCCCTGGCCCCCGCGCTTTCGGGCCTCCACCGTGGGGGGGGACGGGGCGGGGCCGGCCGCTCTAGGGGGGGGCGCCCGCCACTCTGGCCCGGCCAGGTGCCGCCCGGTCCCGCTCGGCGCCGCTCAGCCTGCAGTCTGGCTCCACTTGGCTCGTTCGAGGCAGAGCGGAGCAGGAGAGCAGAGGGTAGCGGAACCGGCAAGGAGGGCGGGCCCGGACGCCGACGCCGGTGCTGCCCTGACCGCTCTCCTCTGCGGCCCGACTGCCACTCCGCCCGTGGGCTGCGTGGGACACTGGACTGACCAGGTCAGTCCAGAAGATCTCGCGACGAGCCCACCAGGAAGAAGTGACCGGCTCCTTCCCGCCTCTCACTGACGGGAAGCTGAGGCACGGGGCGGGCGAGCCGGCCGAGGCCCACGGCGCGCAGGTAGCAGAGCTGGCTGCCGAGAGGGCCGCCGGGCGCGCAGGCAGGGTGAGGCTCCGCTTGTTGCCTTTAAACGCTCGCGGCAGCTACGCGAGGGACTCTCTTCCAGACGGAGACGGGGCCCAACCCAGTCACTGACAGGACCCGCCGGGGGCGCCCCCGCCCCCGCCCCTTACACCCGCTGGGGCCCAGATTCGCGCGGCGGTTCTTGGACGGCGGAAGCGAGTCCGCGCCCCTTCCGGCGGTCCGCTGCTCGGCGACTCCCGCACTCGCGCAGGCTGCGTTCCGGGCTCCCGGGAGCCCGCCGCGCCCCGGCCTCCGCCCCCTCCCGTCGCCACCTCCCTGCCCGGCGCCATGGCCACTGCAGCCGGGGACGGCACGGTGAAACCACTGCAGAGCGCCATGAAGTTGGCCAACGGGGCCATCGAGCTGGACACCGGCAACCGGCCTCGGGTGAGGCGAGGCGGGGGCGGGGCGGGGCGGGGCGGGGCGGCCGCAGCGGCTCCAGGAGGGACCCAGTTCTGGGGCAGGCCCAGTGGGCCCGAACCCGGCCGGGCGCCGACCCAGAACTCCTCCCCGGGCGTTCCTGGGGCGGGGGCGAGGGCAGGGTCGCAGTTGGGACTGTGGGCTCTGGAGTCTGTGGTGTGACCTCGGACAGCTCACAGGGCTCTCTTGGCCTCAGTTTCCCTCTGTTTAATGAGACGGTGAATTAGAACCGAGATTTTATTTGCAAGGGGGGTGCAGGAGCACCCTCCAACAAATGGGTGACAGGTAATTCCACGTGTATGCATATTTTTCGGGGCAGACTCCGTAGACTTAATCAGGTTGTCATACAAGACGAAATCCGGAGACTGCCAGGCCATTCATGATGTGGCCATTTGCAGTCCCCTTCAGAGTGAGTGTGGAGGTGCAAGCAGGGGAGGCTGTGGTTTGCTGCTGAAAATGGGTGCTAACCCCAAGGGTGGTGACCAGATGGAAGAGCTGGCTAAGCCACACTGGGCTTCCTAACAGGGCAAGAGTCTGCCTGTGCCTAGGAAAGGTACCCTCGGCTCCAGTCTGCTGCTTTCCCTCACTTGTTTTTCTGAAGCCTACAAGTGAGAATTCTTGCCTGAAATCCGATTTGTCCTATCTTTGAGGTGTAGGCTTAATTAAAGATGGGTAATTTTACAGTTAAGATAAAACAGATACACTGTGCTGTGTTCCTGATGCCCTGCTCTCCGTCAGAGAGCCCTAGACAGAACAGTCAGTCCCCTTGAAACTGGAACCATACCATGTATTCTAGGCTCTTCTATGCACTAGGAATACTTACTCTGTGGTTCTAGGAAAGAGATTTCCCAGAACCTAAGCTAGGGAGTGATTCCAGCGATTCTAAGATTTGCAACAGCACTCTAGTTTTAACCTCTCAGGAGATCTTAAGCCACTGAATGAATGGCCCTTGAGTTGCACAGGAAGGAAATGTGTTTCATCCCAGACCCACTGAAAGAGAATGTCAGCTCCTTCCTGCAAAGGAGACAAAGGCAGTGAGAGGAGATTCATGCTCAGCTGATGGTCCCTGGACGTCACGGTCTAATGCAGAAGTTGCAGGAAGAAGTGCTCTGACATCACTTTCAGTGCTGACATCTTTTCCTTCAAGTCTGAATAGTGGGGATACTGTTGTGCCCTGGGCAGAACACCACTCATTAGACTCTGAAGGATTACTAGTTGACCACAATGCAGGCTGATGTCCCCTGGCTGTCTCAAAGATAAGCACCATTGCTCTGTACTTTGCACAAGAGCTCCAGCAGATGTGACAGGAGTTCTTCTCCTGCCCTGGCCTGATCCTGCCGCTTCTTTCCTGGACACAGGAGGCATACATGGAATACCTGAGGAGCATCCACTACATTTCCCAGGTGTTGCTGGAAGAAGTGGAGATGACTAAAGGTACAGCTCAGCCTTGCTGCTCTTTGCATGCTGGGCAAATTGTGGGCAGCCACTGATAGATCCCAGGGCTGGGGATTTCCTGTGTCCTTCCATCCTGGTCACTAACAGAGTGAACGGTGAGCACTCAGTGACCATGCAGTATTGCACTGTCACATGGTGACAGGAAGCAGCCACTATAGTGGGTAAAGGGATGGAGATTGAGGTAGGCCAAGACACTAGCCTAAGTGAGCTTAGGCTTTGTATAAAGAGAAGCTTGAAGAGGTTTTGAACTTTGTGGGAGAGACCAGTGTGGGAGTAGAGCCTCTTTGGGTGAGGAGTGAGAGGTGGGAGGAGTGAAGGGCTTGGAGATGTACCTAGCAATTGGAACTGACCAAACTTGATAGGGGTAGTGGGTGGCAGATGGATACTTGTAAGGGAAGGAATAGAACGTTCCACAGTGAAAGCTGGGCACACTGGGCAGGGCGCGGTGGCTCACACCTATAATCCCAGCACTCTGGGAGGCCGAGGTGGGTGGCTTGCCTGAGCTCACGAGTTCCAGACCATTCTGAGCCACACCGAGACCTCATCTCTAAAAATAGCTGGGCGTTGTGGTGGGCACCTGTAGTCCCAGCTACTCTGGAGGCTGAGACAAGAGAATTGCTTGAGCACAAGAGTTTGAAGTTGCTGTGAGCTGTGACACTATGGCATTCTACCAAAGGTGACAAAATGAGACTGTCTCAAAAAAAAAAAAAAAAAACCTGAATGCTGGCCAGGCATGGTGGCTCATGCCTGTAATCCCTGCACTTGAGAGGTCAAGGTGGGTGGATTGCCTGAGTACACAGGTTCAAGATCAGCCTGAGTCAGAGCAAGACCCAGTCTCTAAAAGTAGCTGGGCACTGTGATGGGCGCCTGTAATCCACACTGCTTGGGAGGCTGAGACAAGAAAATTGCTTGAGCCCAAGAGTTTGAGGTTGCTGTGAGCTGTGATGTCACAGCACTCTACCAGGGGTGACAAAGTGAGACTCTGTCTCAAAAAGAAAAAAAAAAAAAAGAAAGAAAGAAAGCTGAGCATGGCTCATGCCTGTAATCCCAGCACTGGGAAGCTAAGGTGGGTGGACTGCTTGAGCTCAGGAGTTCGAGACCAGCCTGAACAAGAGCAAGACCCCCCCCCCCAACCATCTCTACTAAAAATAGAAAAAGATAGCTAGGCATGGTGATGGGTACCTGTAGTCTTAGTTACTTAGGTGGCTGAAGCAAGAGGATAGTTTGAGCCCAAGAGTTTGAGGTTGCTGTGAGCTGTGATGCCATGGCACTCTACCCAGGACAACAGAGCGAGACTGTTTCTAAAAAGAAAAGTTCCACAGTGAACACATTAAGTTTGAGGGGACAAGCACCCAGTTGGACATAGGAGCACAGAGGCCAGGGAGAGAGCTAATGGCTCCCTCAGCACCACAGGGAGGCAGTGAGCTCATCTGAGCTCTGATAGGCCAAAATGAGGGGTTGAGAGGAGGATGATGTCCCAAAGGACAAAGAAACCCACGTGGTCCATTATATTTGGCAAGGGGGCAGGGGGATCGCAGGCCAAACTAGGGTATGGCCTACAGAGAAAATGGGATTCTATGAGGGGTTCACTGTAAAATGGCCAGGGAAATGAGCCAGGAACTGCAGCTGGTAGAACCCAGAAAGTTATAAGGTGGCAGCTCCTACAGATGTCTCCTGACAGGAGAAATCCCAGAGGAGGGTGGGGAGAACAGAACCCTCTGGTGAAGTAGCCAGTATGGGCAGAGGCTGCGGGGTTTGACATGGAGCCTGCAGGAAGGCAGGTCTGTGGGTCCTCCAGCAAGTGAGCAAGGGAGCCCTCAGCTCCTCAGTGTCTCTTTGAAGTGGCTGTGGAGGCTACATAGCCTTCAAGAAGCTTCAGTGAAGAGTAAAGGCTTTGTTTAAGTCAGGCCCCCAGAGGAGGATACAGTGCCAGTCTGGATACCAGGCACAGTGGCTGTGCAGGGCCACACAATAAACCCTGGGCAAGTGACCAGAGATGAATGAGGATGGGGGTGCTCACCTGGTGGTAAGAGGTAGGGTTGCACAGCCTTTCCTTTTTCTCATTTTTATCACAGCAAATACCTGATGAGTAATAGAACTGACAGTGACCAACCTTCTTGTCCCTTTCCCAGAAGCTGGGGAAACTATGCCCCCTGACACCTCAAAGATGCTGAAGCTGGCGGAGCAGTGTCTGGAGAGGGCCCAGTCGACAGCTGCCAAGCTTGGTGGGTCTCTCACAGGAGGCAGCTCTCCTAGGGTACCCCCAAGTCTGCATCTCCTTTGTGTAACGTTGGCCCACCCCTTTTCTGACCCCTGGCTTTGTATGGCTTGCAGGAAAAACATGCCTGAAGCCAGCCATGCCCATGGCTGCTCCAGTCCCCTCACCTACCAGCCGACACCGCCGGGTATATTCAGATGAAGGAGGGAAGCTCTCTCCTTTTCTGCCACCTGAGATCTTCCAGAAGCTTCAGGTGGTAGAGTCACAATGCTCTAAGAAGTAAGATGGGGCAAGATGGGAGGTGGGCAAAGCCCGGGAATAGGTTTAGAGGTCCAGGAAGGTGAGCTGCTTATTGTGAATTTAGTTAAAATGGGTCCTGGAATGGAATACATTTTTGTCTGGCAGAAGCAAATCCAAATTTTCTTTGGAGGAAAGCACCTTCATCCTTCATAAAATAAGTGGCACACAGTCAAAAATAATCAAACATGAAAGGAGACAAGAAATGATGGGAGAATGACAGGAGAAAGAGACCTCCAAGGGGGGCAACACCTGTGGCTCAGTGAGTGGGGTGCCGGCCCCATATACCAAGGGTGGCAGGTTCGAACCTGGCCCCGGCCAAAACTGCAACAACAATAACAACAAAATAAAAAAGAAAGAGACCTCCAAGGTCTTCAAATAGAGTTACCACACTTAAATACATAAAGTTGCCTCGTGTTCATTCACTCCACAATGACAGATTCAACCAACTCCAGGTCAAAAATAATTAGAAAACAAAACTAATACAAAACATTTCAAAGTGAATACAACATAACCACTATTTACCTAGCATTTACATTGTGTTAGTTCTTATAAGTAATTTAAATATATGATTTAAAGGATAACTGAGATGTATGTAGGTCCTATGCAAATACTATGCAATTTGATATAAGGGACTTGGGCATCTATGGGTTTTGGCACGGGGGAGCAGATCTTGGAATCAACCCCCAATGCATACCAAGGTATAATTGTGTGCCCTCCTTATTAATAGAGACAGGACAAGTTTGAAAATACCTAAAGGTAATTAAGAAACTGTAAAATCTGGGGCGGCACCTGTGGCTCAGTGGGTGGGGTGCCAGCCCCATATACAGAGGGTGGTGGGTTCTAGCCCACCCTAGCCAAACTGCAACAAAAATATAGCCAGGGGTTGTGGTGAGCGCCTGTAGTCCCAGCTACTAGGAAGGCCAAGGCAAGAGAATCGCCTAAGCCCAGGAGTTGCTGTGAGCTGTGAACTGTGTGATGCCTTGGCGTTCTATCCAGGGTGATAAAGTGAGACTCTAAAAAAAAAAGAAAAAAAAAAAGAAAGAAACTATAAAATCTGACCTGACCAATAAAGAAATAAGTAAAAATGAAACAAAAAATACAATACTAGGCTCGGCGCCTGTGGCTCAAGTGGCTAAGGCGCCAGCCACATACACCTAAGGTGATGGGTTCGAATCCAGCCCGTGCCCACCAAACGAGGATAGCTGCAACCCAAAAAAAAAAAAA